CTCCCGCCCACTGGACCTGAGCGCGCTTTGGTTCAATGTCGGCGCCAGCATACTATACCCCTCTTAGAACCATAGCAAAAACAATAATTACACTTAATGTTCTCTTGAGTTTTAAATGAACAAAATCTTTTTCAAAAAAATCAAGGCCTCAGGAGAGTATGGAATGATACGAAAACACCAAAAACCCTCAGTGACCGTGAATGTTCTCTTGGGTTTAAAAAAGACAAGGTCTCAGGAGAGTAAGGAATGATACCAAAACCCTAAAAACCCTCAGTGACTGTGCGTCGAGGATCCGCAGGGAGACCCAGCCCAGCAACTCCAGACCTTGGGACGCCTTCTGGTCGACGAGCTCCTCGAAGAAGCATAGGGGTTTAGGGTTTAGGGTTCAGGGTTAAAGGTTTAGGGTTCAGGGTTTAGGGTTTAGGGTTCAGGGCTTAGGGTTTATGAAGATTTAGAGAGCAATATAGGGGCCTCAATCATTAGGATAGGGTTTTGGGGTATATTATACTGTAATTATACTGGAAGAAGGGTGGTGCTTTTAGGGTTTAATGGCTTTGGGGTTTGGGGTGAGGGTTTCGGGGTTTAGGGCCCTTTAGGGTTGAAAGTTTGGGGATTGGGGGTTTAGGGTTTTGGATTCAGGGTTGGGGTTTAGGGCTTGAGGTTTGGGGGTTTCGAGTTTAATGTTTAGGGTATGGGGCCAACGAAAGTTTACGATGGTTCAGGGCTTCAGTTTAGGGCTTGAGGCTTGAGGATTACGATGTAGGGTCAAAAGCTTGACGGGCTTAGGATTTGAGCTTCAGAATTTAGGGGTGTGGGCTTTATTATTGCTTGAGTCTTAGGGTCTGGGTTGGTGCCAACAGGCAGCAGAGTACCATGAACCCTCTATTGGACCCTAAATACCCGCCCTGACATTTCACGTAAACCTCCCTAAACTCTAAACCCTAAACACTAGTCCACACACTGTCAACGCCAATCCCTGAACCCTATGAGGCCTGGTAGTGACTTCGAGTTCGAACTGGATTTGGGAGTTTCCATGAACACACACACACACAGCGTCTACAGTTTACAGGGCAAAAGAAACAACACAACCAAGTCACAACATCGAACCTAACCATTTCGCCTACATGCTGACTCCCCAGCGCTGAACCCGACGCTCCGTAACATTTCCGAGAAACCTGAAGAATAAATGCCAAATACGTCGTAAAGGTTTAACGATGGAAACTACTTCGTCTTAAACTACCCTGAACCCTAAACCCTAAAACCCTGTAAGCCCCAGAAGCTCTGGTATGAGCCCTTCATATCCCAGGCATCCTACAACTCCTGGTTACCCTAACACCGAAACACCAAAGATACGCCCAGTCAGTGTAGGGCTCTAGGAACCCTAAATAACCATAGTTAGAGGCCCCATAGTAGTTCCTTTTTGGGATTACCCTTTAGGATTCCATATATGAACCCCAAAAAGGAACTACTTTGGGGCCTTTGGGTAGTTACTGATCATTCATTGTGTTTCTATCCTAAAACAATGCCTGCGACGCAGCCTGCGCGGCTTTGGCGAGGGTCGGGCCCTTGGGCGTCGACTTCGTCGAAACGCCCGCGACACCCGAAACCAGGAAGGACGTGATCAGCTCACCTTTGGATGAACAGGCGTTGTAGGGATTTCTTAACTAACCCTAAACCCCAACCGTAAGTACTGGGGATCCTACATCTCCTAAACCCATGAGCTCCCCATACTCATCAAAGCCGTGTAAAGAAGCACTAGACAACAACACAAGGCCCCCCAAAAACCCCAACAGCCCCAAAAAACCCGGAACACAAAATGCTAAACCCAAAACCCAAAACCAGCGAGAAAAGTAAACCCTACACCCCTGAACCCTCAACCCTAACTCCTGAAGCCTCAATCCTAAACCCTAAACCCTCAACCCTAACACCTGAAACCTCAACCCTAAACCCTCAACCCTAACCCGTGAAACTCTCAACCCTAAAGCCCTAGAAGGAACGCCAAGCCACCACTGCCGAAGAAGAGGCCCTCAGCGTCGTGTGGCAGCGTTGCGCAGGCGCTTAGGACCGACGCCCAGGGATACCTCCGGGGTTTAAAGGGGGCTTGGGGTTTGGGGTTTAAGGTTTGGGGTTTAGGTTTTAGGGTTTAGGGTTTGGGGTTTAGGGTTTATGTTTTAGGGTTTAGGGTTTTTGTTTAAGGTTTAGGGTTTGGGGTTTATAAGTTTAGGGTTTGGGTTGAAGTTTAAAGCTAAACCGTAACTATAATGGTTACTCTTCTTTTTATGATAGGGTTTAGGGTTTGGGGCGTAGGGTTTCGGGGTTCCAGTATCACGTTTAGGACTGAGGCTCCGGCATGCCTCATCAGAAGTGTCTTGCTGGTAGGGTCATAGTAGTTCAGGGCTCATGGGGTTTATAAAGCCTAGAGGTCTTTCGGGGTGCAGGGTTTAATAGTTTATGGCTTTAGGAGTTTAGGAATTGAATTCACGTACTCGGGTTGAAGGTTTCGTATAGTCATTAGTGGGGTGTTTAAGGTTTCTTTTTTGTGGAGCCTCCTTATTGATGCTTAACAACTGGACTGTCACTGTGAAGCTGCATAGCGGGCTCGTAGGTATAGAGTTTAGGAGAGAATGCGGCTCAAAGACTCAAAGGGGAAAAGGAGGGACCCTTAATGGGGACCCCTACCTTATAATGGGCTATATAATGGGTATACACTAGCTATATTAAGGGTATGTACCTAGGGGTCCTTATTAAGGGTCCCTCCGTTTCCCCTTGAAAGACTGGATCCTTTCTGTGTCTCCGTCTTCTTATGGGCTTCAGGGTTACGGCTTGGGGTTCCACGGACATCTGAGGAGTGCAAGTGTCGTCGGAAAGGCTATCCGCACATCGATGCGTTCAGTTTTTGTGTTCATAGGGGCTTTGTGTTGTTACACTGTTTGCCCAGCAATTTCTATATTGTGCTCATAAGGATTTGTCCAGCTTACGCAACCCCAAACCTTAAGCTATTGTTCGCTGTGTCTCAGCTCAGACTTTCTCGAGGGAGCTCCCTATGATTCTGGCGGCCCCAGACATCTTCGCAACCGTTCAGGATGGTGGCGTTGGCCTTTGCGGTGAAAACTCCGAGCTTCTGTGCGCAAAGCACAAGAGCCTCTGAAGAGCCCTTCTTGTGGGTATGGAGCGTTTACACAGCCCTTACCCTGTAGCTAAGCTTTCTAGACCCCTTGTAGCAATCCTTCGGAAGCCTCAGAATTATTTCTGGGCCCGATGTAGCGATTTTTAGAAAGCCAGAATGCCTTGCGATTTCGATGTCCGGCGTTGTGTCGTCGGAAAGGTGCTGGCAGGAATCATCGCTGAGGGCGGATGCTTCGCCCGCATCGGCCATGGCTGGGGTGACTCTCAGGGTGGGTCTGGAATGAGATAGGGTACAGGGTTTAGGGCTTAGGGTTAAGTTGGTGTAGTTTGAGGGGGCTTGTAGAGTTTGGGGTAGAGGGTTTGGGGGTTTTGTTATGTCTGGCTAGTTAAGTAGCGTGGCGGTTTAGGGCTTGTTTTTGCAAGCTGCCCCAAAGACTCCCCTAATTAAGGACTATTCCGTAAATCATATTAGGGATTCTACTATAATTTTACGGTATATTCCTGTCTCTCGGCTTTTCGAACCGTGGCTTCCCGTGCGATTGGGGTTTAGTCTTTGCAGTGTTGGGGATCCAGGGACTTTGGTGAGTTGTAGCGTTCCGATTCAAACTAATGTACCAGGACGCCCCAAAGGGCCGTTTAATAGAGCCCTTATGGTCCCTAATAATGGGTTTTTGAGTAAATAAGAGGGTAGTTGCGGAGTCTAGGTGGGAGCCTTAAGAAACAGAAGAAAGTTCTGGTGTAGAATATCAGTGTTAACTTATTATGACAATATGACTGAACAGCAAATTGAGCAAAGAGGCCACGCTATTCTGGATGCCACGTTGCAGACTCTCGCTTTCCACCGTGGCCCTTTGTGACAAGGATCCTGTACCTAAGAACACAAACCCTGAACCCCAAACCCTAAAATCAACCTCAAACCCTAAACCCCATAAAACCCCGAAGCCCCAAAGCCTTCAAGCCCCAACAACTAAATCCGGAGCCTGCAATCCTAGAGTCCTAGAGTCTGTGGCAAGGACCCTCCACCCTCAAACATACGATAGGGGAATTTATAATTGCCTATACTGTTTTGGAGGCTCCTTATTGTAGTTTAACAGCTAGAGTCTAATATGCCCCAAAACCCTGTTCTACTTGTTAAGGCCCCTGTATCACCTCCTTAACGTAGCCCTTATGGACCCTCTAAAGGAACCCAAGAGCCCGAACCCAAAAAGGAGGTCGTCGTAGGGTTCTGCCACTTCAGCTCTGGGACCGAACATGCCTAGAGCCTCCATTGTGGTTCCTTTAGGGTTTAGGGTTTAGGGTTTTTCCTGGACCCCAAAAGTATTTAGAATACTAGCCTTTTATAGGTTTGGGGGGCATTATTTTACCTACTTTTGCGGGTCTAGGTTTTGGTGAACCAAAATCTCGAGTATAGGGTCCTAACCATAAAATTGGTTAACCAAGAAAGGAACTACAATGGAGACTATAGGCAGTAGTTGAAGTAACTTGCTGACTAGGGGCCCGCAACCCGCAACTTCTACGGTAGGCCCCCCTAAAATGAAGGGCTGCATACATATTCAGAACCAGAACGGTAGACCCCATAAAATGAAAGGATGCACATTTTCTATATATGTATATTTGTTCAGAACCAGAACTCGAATGAGAACCAGGGCATTAATAGCTTCTCAGCTTAAGAACCTTCTGCACGTCGGCCCTTCGGGAACCCTAGAACCCTTACTCAATCTACCCATCAATCAACGCAGAAGCCCCATAGTAGTTCCTTTTTGGGATTACCCTATAGGATTCTATATATGAACCCCAAAAAGGAACTACTTTCGGGCCTTTGGGTAAAGCCTTGAGTCCAGATAAAATCGGTTGTCGACAACCAGGGCCCCAACTCCTTAGCGTCGACCGCATCTTTGTCGGCCCGTGCTGCCAGGAGCATCTTGATCACCTAAGGGTAGTTCAGGGCTTTGGGGCGAAGGTCTTAGACTTTTCGGATTTTGGGGTTCTGGGTTTGGGTTGCGGGCCTTAGGCTTTGGGCTTGAAAATGTAGAGTTGACAGGCTCGAGGGTCCTGGGGTTTGTGGTTCATTCAAGGGTTGGGGGCTCACTTGCTGTGGTTTTTAACATTTCTAGGCTTGAAGGTTGCATGGCTCCTCGTTCTCGTGCATAGTAGGGCTTGGGGTGTTCATAGGGTGTTCAGGTGATGCTTGGGGAAGGGTCTCCAGTGTTCGAAGGCTTCAGATGATAGTCATAGGCCTTCGAGCATTGGTGCTACGGCTTCAAAGGCCCTTTATCAAATGGGTTTGAGTTTACAGGGTTTAGCGTTGCATCCACCCTGCATAACCATTTCGGCTAAACATAAGGTTCAGGGTTTGGGGTTTACAGGGATCAGCGGTTGGGAGTGCTTTTGGCGCGCGCGGCTTCAGACCCCAACCGGCAGACAGCGTAAACGATAGTTTCGGGCTGTGGCACCAGTGGCAATTAGGGACCTGTCGTATGGGATCGTTATGTAAGTAAGGGTCTACCACTTAAACTAGGATCTGTTTTAGGATCCCGCATTTCCGACTCTCCCTGGAAACTCCCATTCGCAGCACGCACCTCCACGTAGCCCATCTGCGCTGCGAGGTGAATAGGTGCCAGATAGAAATCCACGGTGCGGCCCTGCAAGAGTTTTAGGATTGACATACTGTTGAACTGCGACGCCCACGACCACGAAGACGACGACTCTCACGACAACGACTACGACCGTCACCACCACTAACGCTACTGGCGCCACTGACAACATCGCAGAGCCCGATACCCTCTAATAAAGCAACATGCCTTAACTTATCAGGGACGGATTACTACATGTGTTATATATATATATAATTGTATAAATAAAAAGTAAATAAAGAATAAGCTATGTTCCTTTATCAACGCGTATCGGTGTCTCCGGGAACCCTGCCGCAAAGCATCTGGGACCTCCGGGTCGGCGTGGCCGAAAAGTAGCAGCTTGACGATGTGAGTGTTGCCGGCCCCACAAGCCTTGCTTCTTGAAGACCCTAAACCCTAAACTGAAGCATTTGGGCTGTAAGGGCTGAAGGGTTGAGGGCATGGAGTGGTGGTCAAGGCCCTAGAGTTTGATTATATGTGCTCCTGGGGCCCGGGACGCTGGGGACGCTGGAGACGCCGGGGACGCTGGGGACGCCGGGGACGCCAGGGACGTGGGGACGAGGTGACGCTAGGGACGCCAGGGCCTTGTAGGCACGTATTAAGTAGAGTTTAGGCGGTTCAACAGGTGAAGTTTGAATTCATGGTCAGGTGTTAGAGGAAGCGGCTGCCTCTGGCTAAGCAAGGTCCCCAATGGAAGCGGATGCCTGTGGCTAAGCAAGGGCCCTTCTCTTATATTGATGAGGGAGGTCTGGGGTGTGTGTTGCGGGAATACTGTATACCTATAGCCTCCATTGTAGTTCCTTTTTTTGGTTAACCAAAATCTGTATTATAGGGTCCTAACTCTAACCATAAAACTGGTTAACCAAAAAAAGGAACTACAATGGAGACTACAGGTAGATGCATTTAAAGCGGGTGACAAGGGATTGGGGTTGGTTCAAGGGCCTCTTCTTGGGCAGGCGGACCCAAGGCCACAAGGGCAAGAAGCCGCCAACACACGGTTTAGGGTTTAGGTTTAGGGTTTAGGCTTTAGGGTTTATAGAAGGTGTGTAGGGTTTGGGTGCGGAGTTTTGGCGGGTTTTGGCTGGTTTCGGGCGGGTTTCGGGCGGGTTTTGGCGGGTTTTGACAGGGTTTTTGCTTTTGCTTTTTTTGTGCAGGTGAAATTTTTGCAATGAAAAGAAACCTTTCGCAACATGCTTATTGCTATTGTCGTGACTCTGCCATCCGAACCGTTCAACACACACCTTCTATTTATCATTGAGTTTAGGGTTTAGAGTTTAGGGTTTAGGGTTTAGAGTTTAGGGTTTAGGGTACAGGGGCAACCAAGTTGTCTGCCTGGTGTGCCTGAAAACACTTTCCCGGGGCTCAAAGGACTTGACCTCTCACCCTCGACAGATTTCAAGTTTCCAAACGGAGACGCGCCAGTCGCAATTGCGCAAACGCTTCCCACTGGGTTTTCTAGATGGCTCCTAGGGTCCTAGGAGATCAAGCAACTCTCTTGTAGAGCTGAAAGAATCTTGTCACTAAATTCCGCAGCCCCGTATAACTATAGACTACCCTAACCCATAAAAACCCTAAACCTTAAACCCCAAACTGTAGACCCAGCCTAAACCTGAACCCAAACCCCTAAACCAAAGACCCTATACCCTAAACCCCTAAACCCCCCCATGCACATCAAGCCCTATAGCCCCCCAAAACCTCTGTAGACATCACCTTAACCCTGAATATCCTACCTTTTTGGGGTTCCTTCTTAAGATTTCCTTTTCTAAAGTCCTTCAAAAGGTAGGTTATTCCGGGTTAAGGCAAGCCCTATACAACCAGATCAGAGGGCCCCTGGAGCTCTGGACTACGGTTGATGATATAAATCCTGCATTACCCATGATAAGGAATATACCATCTTTCCCATAGTTTAGGGTCCTTAAGGTAATGCAGGATTTATTTCATCAGCCCTAAACCCTAAAACCCTATAGATCCCTTAAAGGAACCCATTAAAGGTACCCTTATAGATCCCTTTAAAGGAACCCTAGGATACTCATCAACAATATGAGTCCTGAAAGCCATCATCTCTAAGGTTCGGGGGTTTAAAGGTTCCTGTAACTACGGTTGATGATACAGATCCTTAGGGTTCCTTTAAAGGGATCTATAGGGGTACCTTTAATGGGTTCCTTTAAGGGATCTACAGGGTTTTAGGGTTTAGGGCTGATGAAATAAATCCTGCATTACCTTAAGGACCCTAAACTATGGGAATTATGGTATAGTCCTTATTATGGGTAATGCAGGATTTCTATCATCAACCGTAGGATGCCCAGTAACCTAGGAATAAAAAGGGCTCCCTTGTTGGTATTGGGTAACATTACAAGGAACCGAGGACTACAAAAAGGGAATAAGGGTACTACTGGGCATCCTAGTTATGGTCTGCTGTAAAGGTTACTGTAGGGGTGCCTTTTTAAGGCCTCGTTTTTAGTGGAACTATAAGGCTTACCACAAGGGTTCTTTTTAAGGCTCGCTTGTGCAATACAAGGGCTGCTATAGGGGTTGCTATGGGGGTTTGGGCTTGGTAATGGCGCAGAGCACTAACAGTCACTAACTAAACCGTAACTCCTTAACCCTAAATGCCCCAAACCCCAAACGCGCAGGTTTGGGGGATTGCTAATCCCTAAACCTCAAACCTTTAAGCCCTAAACCCTACACCACTAAACCAAAAACCCTAAACCCTCAAACCCTAAAACCCTAGTTGCCTTGAAAAGCACAGGATTTCCATTCTTGTCGGGGATGTTCGGGTCCTGCGCTAGCGAGCGGCTTGCGGCTCGTTCGGGTTCATGGGTTAGGGTTTAGGGTTTAAGGTTTACCGGGTTAGGGCTTACCTGTGTCCCCAAACCCTAGAAAAAACAGGTTATGACCCCTCCATTATGGGGTAGAACCCTTAAAACGGTAGATTCTGGGATTCCCAGGTAGTGTCTACCTTAACCCATCAGAACCTACTTCTTTGTAGGGGCCCTAGAAATTTCTCAGTAGGGTTTCGAATTACAACCTGCGCACAGCATCGTTCTACCTGGACCCCCCAACCACCCTCTCATATACCGCAAATACCTTGGGTACAGCCGGGCCCCTGTAACAGTGACCACAATGAAACCCACAAAAAAAGCACAACTTCTTTATAAGGGGTTCATGCAAAACCTAGATTTACAATTGTCACTGAAAAAAATGGGTGCAGAAAAAATCATACATTTACAGTTATCCCTGAAGGACAGGGTGTGTCCCCATATGGATTCTGGTAATTTGTACCGCGTCTGTCGGACAAGCTTCTAACCAGCCTTTTGTTTCTGCCCCACTTTCCGACTATCAGTACCTGAAGGGGGGAGGAGGGAGGGGGAGGAGGGAGAGGGAAGGGGGAGGAGGGGAGAGGGAGAGGGGGAGGAGGGGAGGGGAGGAGGGAGGGAGAGGGGGGAGAGGGAGAGGGGGGAGAGGGAGGGGGAGAGGGAGGGGGAGAGGGAGGGGGAGAGGGAGGGGGAGAGGGAGTGGGACTGCATGGTCTGCTAACCTGCCCCCGTTTCTGCCCTTTCTCTCTTTCTGTTTCTCCGTCCACACCTCCCACTGCTCTTTCTCTGTCACTTCTTCTTCGTGTCAGTTCTGCCTCCCTCATCTTTCTGTCGAGCAAGCTCAAAGCAGCAAGAAGCTTAGATCACCGATTCTGTCACCTGTCACAGTCTTTCTATGCAATCTGACATATGGTACGGTATGGTATGGATTTCAAGACTTGAGCGGTCTTCTGTTTACGAGTTTACGGTTTCGGATTGAAAGGCTGGATCCGCTACCGGATGTGCCGCCCTCCCCTGCCCTCCCGTCCTCGCCCAGTCCCTCCACCCGGTTCGGATTTGCGGTATTTCTGTATTTGGTGCTCCCTGAACTCGAGCCCGCGCCACCGGAGGGTTCTGTTTTGATCTCGATTTCGTGTTTCGGTTCTGTTTCAGAGTCTCATTGTCGGCTTCAGCATCGGTGAAGTTTTGTTAATTTGGGATCTCCGACTCAATCGGAATTTGAAGCACTCCAACGACAATGTTCAGACTCATGCAACACATACTGCATAGACACAGAATAGCTCAGCGCAGCAGCTCAAGTTCCGCTTGTTTTTCGCCATCAAGTCACATAGCACACGCTCCACTCTCCAACGGGCACAAGTGCTTCGCACGTTGTTGCAGACGTGTCAAGCTTGCAGTACGGCCACGAACCCTTGGAGCCAAGCCGCTTGGCTAACTCCCCGATGGCATACAATGAAAGTCAGACACTAAATCACGCAGCCACAAAGTGGCAGCAACTTGGTCAAGTGAATGCTGTGAATGTAGTACCTGACCTTTTTTGGATCGTATCAAGCCCCCCAAAACCTATCGTAGCCTACAGCCTATAGCCTATCGCCCACGGTCCAGCCGCATAGCATATGGCACTATGGGTTTATGGTTTATGACTGTATCACTGTATCACTTTGTTTCTCGAGCGCTACCACCAGGACACATGAACCACAGGACCAGTTTCACTGCACCGGTTATGAACTTATGTCGCCCCACGTGCCCAAGCCCATGCCCATTTACTAATACTGTAGACTATAGTATAGGCTATAGGCTATAAGCTGTATATTATATAATATAGTATAGTCTATGTTTCAATTATGAGCAATTCTAAGGCTTTGTGCTATAGGCTATAGGTTATAAGGGTATCGGCGGTATAGGCCATAGGCTATAGTATATGGTATAAGTATTGATCTCTGACTCTTACAATGACCATAATTTATCATGACTATTCCTTGTAGCCTGTACCTGGGGTTCTACCACGGTCTAGGGTTTCGGTTTCTGTTTAGTCGGCCCAGCACGAAACAGCAAGTCAGCAAGGCTTCTTAGAGAGCATACGTGGCCGGTGGAGCCAAACTAGACATGTGGGAGCACGCTGCTTCAAAAACTTCTGCCGTTCGG